ACACACACACACACACACACACACACACACACACACACACACACACAAGTATGCGTGCTCTTACCCATCCCTTGGGGAGCGGCCGTGGTCTGGCAGGCAGGGGGCTACTCCCCACCCCCCGACCTGCATTCCGGCCCCGCCTTGTTCACCCTCCCGCCTCATTCCATCTCTGGTCTAGACACGCTGAGTCTGTGCTGGGCCAGTCTGCCTCAGTTTCCCTCCGTTCATGGCACTGGAATGGGTTCCCTAGGGAGGTGGTGGAATCTCCATCCTTAGAGGTATTTAAGGCCCGGCTTGACAAAGCCCTGGCTGGGATGATTTAGTTGGGGATTGGTCCTGCTGTGAGCAGGGGGTTGGACTAGATGACCTCCTGAGGTCCCTTCCAACCCTGATCTTCTCTGATTCTATGGCAGCCTGCTCCGTGCAGGGATCCCAATTCCTCTTTTCACCACCGCTCACGACAGCCGTGCAGCCTCCAGGCCCTTGTTAATGCTGAGTTTTAGCTCGACGTGGGAGCTGGCCTGGCCTAGTAGCTAGAGTGCTGGATGGCGACTCAGGAGACCTGGATTCTATTCCTGGCTCTACTGCTAGGTCACCGTCCCTGCTCTGGGCCTCAGTTTCCCCTTGGGGGTAATGCTACTGACCCTCCTTTGTAAAGTCCTGGGAGATCTGCTCATGGACAGAGTAGGCATTATTATTTGTTAACCTGTCCGCATTCCGGTAGCACCTGGGAGCCCTGGTCACGGAGCGGGACCCCTGGCGCTAGGCGCTGTACAAACACAGGACAGGAAGACGGTCCGGGCCCCAGCGTGCTTCCACTCTAAGATGAGAGCCAGCAGGTGGCTACGGGCCGACGGGAGAGCCCGAGGGACCAGTGAGACAAAAACTGCCTTGCCTGGCGTTGCCTGCACACTGGGCTCTCACATCCCCAGAGGTGCCCAGCTCTGCCCAGGGCCCTGCTGCAGCTCTGTGCCAGCTGGCTCCCTGGGCGTGGGCTCCTCGTATGTCCCGCTAGCGGGGCAGCGGCTTTTCAGTGGCTTTTGGGGAGGGCCCCTCCCTGACTTGGGAATCGAGCAAGACGGGGACCTGGATGGACAGACGGATGGATGTTCTGGGTTGCAGCCTTCCCTGGCAGGAAGGGAGGCTGGGAGAAGGGCCACCCCCCTCCTGGAACGCCCCCGGCACCCAGGCTAGAAGGGGATCAACCCCCCCCCCCGGCAAATGTACCTGCCAGCTCACCCCCTGCACCTCCCCTGTGGCAGCTCCTCCTAGTGGTGAGAGCCAACAGGCCGGAGGGGGACCCAGTGCCACCCCTGCCCAGGGTGTGGAGCGGGACCTGCCCATCCCGTGCACCTGAAGACCCCTTCCCCATGGAGCTGGGAGCCTGCGTGCTCAGCCCCTCCCCCAAATATTCCCCCTGGGTGGGCCGGGGGCTTGTTGTCCCCTTCCCGGCCCAGGGAGAGAGGGGCCAGGCTGCGCTGAGGGGCCGAGCGAGCTGCACCAGGCCCCTGGGTTGGTTTTCTGTCACCGGCTTGGAGAGCTGCTGAGGCGAGAATCCGCACAACCCGCAGCCCCATGTCTCCAACCCAGCCGATTCCCGGCCCCAGCTCAGCACTTCTGGCTCCGCGAGCCGGCGGTGGAGACGGTACCGGCCGCGCCTGCTGGAAATGGCCTTGAGCCACCTCTGGGCGGGTCAGCGGTGGAACCCAGGGTTCCCCCGATTGCACCGGGCATGGGAGCGGGCGGCGGGAGCCGGTCTCTGGCCAGGCGGTTATCACGTGTGTGACAGTACCCAGCGGGGCCCAGTTGAGATTGTCCCGGGCGCTGCCCAGCAAACTCCCCGACCAGGATTGGTGCCCCATTGTGCCAGGCGCTTATGACCCCCGCCCCCCGTGACTGGCACCAGTGCCCCTTTGCGCCAAGCACGGCACAGCCACAAGCCGTTTCACGGAGGGGCTACGGGATGCCAGTCCCATGGCAGTTCTGCCAGCGTGGGCCAGAGCCATGCTGGGGAGCTGGCCATGACGGGCCGGCCATATTCTCAGAGTCCCCCGGGGCTCGGGCGTTCCCACCGGGAGAGGCTGCAGCCAGCAACCCCCACGAAGCTTTTCGTCCGGCTCAGCCCGTCCGAGGGTCCTACCTCAAACCGCCAGCAAGGTCCAGACCCTAAGGGACTTAAACACCTGGCTCCCATTGGCTTCCAAGGGGACTTAGACACCTAACTCCCTTAGGCCGCATTCCCCCCACACAAGTAGCACCTCAGGGTTGAGCGGGGTGAGGTGGAGCGTGAGCTGTGTCTCTGTCCGCGGCGATGGGGAGCCCATGGCACGTAGGGCGACCCGCTGTCCCAGTCTTAGGGGCTGCGTCTTGTATAAGCAACTATAACTCGCCCTCCCCGTGGGGAAAAAAAAAGTGTCCTGACTTTTTGCACTTGCGATCTGGTCACCCTCGGTGCGTGCAAATCCGTGGTGCGCAAAGGCGGGGGATTTGCTCCAGGCGGGGACCGGAGTACCTCCGCGCCTGGCTCTGCGGTATGCAAATTACTTCCCAACAGCCCCTCTTTGCCCCTCAACTGGAGCTTTGTGAAGCCCTTTGCTAAGACCCCCGGCCTCGGGCGGCTGCTTTCTGCAGGGCTGCGCCGGGCCATTTGCAAGCGATTCTCTCTGGGGCGGGCGCGTCAGGCCCATTTTCTCATTTTGTCTGGGGTGGGTTTTTTTGTTTCTTTCGTCTCTGTAAATTGCGCCTCTCCCCGAGCGAGCGGCGGCTGGAAGGAGACACAAGCGAGGGCTGGCGTGTCTGATGGGCTCGGCAATAAGCAATGTCTTTGAGCGCTAGATTGCTGCCACTTTGGGCAGAAAAGCATCTGGAAGGATGGAGCCGGATTCGGGGGCGGGGGCGGGGGGGGAACTCATGCTGGGGGTGGGTTCGCTCCAGCGGGGCGTCGCTGAGGCTAGCCACTGTTGTAGCAAGAGGGGGGGCCTGCGGGTTGGGATTGGGGGGCCCTGGCAAAGCTGGGGGGGGGGGGAGAACTGGGATAGCATCTCCCGTCTCCCACTCACTAAAAGCACTTGGCCTCCTAAGGGTTAAAGGCTCCCCCACACGATTTGCAGGGGAGTGAGGATTTTACTGGCAAATCGCCAGTTCCTCACGGGTACTTGATTCTCCTGCCAGCCGGGGGGGGGAAGAGCCGGGGCCCCCGCTGAGCCCGCATCGAGCTGTGCGGTGTCTGTGTACGGCTCAGAGCCCTGCCCCCCGCCCCACATCCACCCCCACCCCGGCTCCATGAGCAGACTCCTCAGGGGAGCTGCTGGTTGATTTCCCCCCCCAGGAGGAAATCCCGCGTCAGGGAGGCTTCTGTAGGGCTGGCAGGCCCCAGGAGTGCAGGGGTTAATGGTGGAGACACCCCCGACCCTCGGGAGTCCAGCCGGTTAGGTCATCAATGAGATGAGTTAGGCGAGAGCTCAGCCTAGGGACTCGGCGGCAGGGGGACAGGGACGGTGGCCGGGGCTCAGGAAAATTCCAGGGCTGGGCTAGCCGGGGGCTGGCGGGTTTCACGCTGGCTTGCCACGGCGATCAGGCGTCTCCTGACAGGCCGGGGTCGGGGGCCGAGTGGGGTTTGATGCAAATGTGACGACATCCCCGTGGGGAGATCCTGCTCCCAGGGTGCCCACCCCCTCGGGCCCGTAATGGGGAGGCGGGAGGGGAGGATTGGGAGCCATCGAGTCGCCTGGCCCCGCCCGCCTGGCCCCTCTGCGTTTGGGGCTCACGCCCGCCTCTCTCCCTGTCTTTCCCGCAGCCGAGCTCAGACCTCGACAAGCTGCCCACGGCCCTGCTCAGGAGACTCTACGACGGCCACCGGGTCTCCTACGAGGCGCTGCTGCAGCTGGCGGGCAAGGACGATGCCCGTGAGTGCCCGGCCCCATCCCCCGCCCTGAGAAAACTAACCCGGGGAGACTGGAAGGGGCCGGAGGGGGGAGCTGCTATCGGGCGGGGGATGGGGAGAGAGCAGCGAAAGCGGAGGGGGTGAGGTTGATTGCTGCCCCCCCAGCACCACTGACCGTCGCCCGCTTCTCTCTTCCAGGTCCCAAGATGCCCGTCCCCTCTCAGAAACGTAAGTCCCATTTTCCCCTCTTCCCTGACCCCGGCTTCTCTGCCCTGTCCATCTGGGGGACGCCGCGGCCTCTCCCCAGCCCCGCTCCACTCTGTGCTCCTGACCCACACAGCAATCAAGCCAGACGTCACTGTCACCAGCTGGAGTGTAGACGGGACCCGCCCTTGAAAGCCAGCCGAAGCCTCAGGCAGCCCAGGCTTCCCAGGGCCAAGGTTAGGTCCCGTCTGCGCTTGGCCCCGGGCTGAGTCTTGGATCGGCCAGGGCCGACCCTGCCCCAGAGCCCGTGTGCTCGGTTCCAGCTGTGCCCAGTCTGGGAGCCGGGCCCGAGGCGTCTCGAGGGGGCGGGGGGCGGATCTGGACCCAGAAGGCGCTTTGGCAAAGATGACCCAGATGAAAAGCCTCAGGTGGCATCTCTTCCCTTCCCCGGCCTGCCAGACTGACTCAGCTAGGGGCACCCGCTCCGCTGACCCCCTTGTCTTTCTGCAGGGGACATGCACGACTTCTTTGTCGGCCTCATGGGGAAAAGGACCCCGGAGCCTGGTAAGTGAGGCCCGTGTGAGGCCAGCTTGGCGGGCAGAGGGGGGCGTTCTGCCACGAGGTGCCGGCCGGAAGCCCCAGGACGCCCGTTCCCAGCACCGTCAAGTGTCCACGCACCCGCCCGCCCACTCAGGGGCAAGGCCTTGATGCCCCTAACGGAGATCCTGTGTCTATACTGCAGGACGGGCTGTCCCAGTCCAGCGCTGCCAGCTCTGGCCAGTGTCCCCCCACTCCGGTGACACAAGGGGGGTGGAACAGGTTGACCGTTCCAGGACGGGGGGCTTCCTGCAGGGGCTGAGCCGTGGGCGGGGGCCGTCCCGGCTGGGCGAACGGGCCTGGGAAGGAACTGACTGCATCTCTGCCCTGCTGTTTAACCCTAGACGACCCCACAGACGGGAACAAGGAGACTTCCGCTGGCTTCGGCGACCTCAAATACCCCCCAAATGCAGAATGAGGTGAGGGCAGCGGGAGCCCGGTTCTGTTCGCTCCCCTTCCCGTGCGACGCACGCGGGCTCACGCCCACACGCCCAGCGAGGTG